TTTTTGTCATTGGGGTGGTGAAAACGTTTTGACAGCCGATGGATCCATATTTGTTCAAGGAGGTGTTACCGATTCAATCCGGGTGCATAGTGGCATGTCTTTTGAGGAGTTCAAATCATTGGTTTTTGATCGGTTGAATATAAATTCTGACGGCAAATCACTATATTTTACAGTGAAATATGACCCAAAACAATTTATTCTTTTGAAAGATGATCTTGGGATGCAAACAATGTTATCCTGCAATGATGAATATGCTCATATCTATGCGTCACAATCTGAATTAAGCATAGTTCTGCCATCTCATGCTAGTACTAAAAGGTATTTATGTAATTTTTTTGTTTATATTTTAAGTTTATTTATTTGTTTAAATACAGTTCAAATAAGGATCAGTTGTGTACAGGTTTCTTGTTGAAAAGAATCCCGTATTACCAAACAGCAGTGGCTCCAATCAAGTGGCAGTAGATTCTTCAGGCTCTCAATTATTCATTGGTGGAAAATGGAAGAATATTATTACAGGCCTAGGTCAGACATTTAAAGATCCTAAAGCATTTCGAGATGCCATGTATAAATTTTCCATTGCCCATCAGTTTCCTTACACTTATACACATAATAAACCAAAGTTTTTGAAGTGTCATTGTGATGTTAAGGGATGTGATTGGAAGATTACTGCATCAGCAGATGGAAGTACGAAGAATGTGTCAATAAAGAAATTTCAAGATGTGCATATCAGTTGGTGATATGGTTAGCTTTAAACCCAAGTATCAATCGAATTCAGTTGGTAGTGTGATGGTTGATAAATTGTTCAATACTCCCACATACTTGTCTCGACAGATATGCAAGGACGCAATGGATGAGTATCAAATGCGATTGACTTATCATCAGGCGTGGAACGCAAAAGAAAAGGCATTGAAAATTTTAAATGGTGATGTTGAAGATTCCTACAAGTTGATCCCGTGGTATTGCAAACGGTTAATGGAGGTTATGCCTGACATAATTGCTGTATGGTCAAAATATGATGACGGTGCCTTCAAACAACTTTTTGTCTCGTATGGATGCTCAATACATGGATTTCATTCTGGGTGTAGACCTATTGTGTTTATTGATGGATGCCACCTTAGTGGTCCTTATAAAGGGACTTTATTGGCTGCTTCAAGTATTGATGCAAATAATGGTATGTATCCTTTAGCATATGGTGTAGTTACATCAGAAAATGAAGAGGATTGGTTATGGTTTTTGCAGCATTTGAAACATGTCATTAAGGACAGAAATATTGCCATCATCTCAGATAGAAATCCAGCTATACTCAAGAGTGTGGATTTTTTGTTTGGGTCAGAGAATCATGCACATTGTTATCGGCATTTGCAAGAGAATTTCAGCTCATTCATTAATAAAAATGTTTCATTCCACTTGAATAGTGCCAAGAAGCAGAGAGCTCATCAAATCCTTGATGAGATTGCTTATGCTCGGACCATGGATACATATGAAATGGCACTAAACAAGATGTCTGATTTTCAGCAGCAGCTTCATGATTGGGTGAAGGATAATAAACCTGAGCACTGGAGCAATGCTTTATTTCCAAAACAACGGTGGGATTGGTTAAATAGTAATATAGCTGAAAGTTTTAACGCTTGGATGGGAGAGGCACGGTTTTATCCAATTGGAAAAATGATACAGGCTCATGTGGATAAGTATTCTCAATTATTGGTGAACAAGGTAAATGATCTACATTCTTGGAAGCATGGCATTGGAAAAAGGATTGAAGAAAAATTAGCAGAAAACATTGCTCGAGGCCAAGGATTTAGTGTGAAGCATCGACCTCCATTTGAATTTGAAGTTTCTGAACGTCGTAAACGGGTTTTGGTTGTAAACATTTTGCTCCAAACATGTACTTGTATGGAATGGCAGATGACTGGAATTCCATGTCCTCATGCTTGTCGTGCCATCCAGATGCAAAATGATACATTTATGATTGTGTTGATGGTTATTACAAGAAGGATGTTCAAGAAAATATTTATAGTGAGCTAATGCCTGGAATTCCTACCATAGATATGCCTATACATACTGATGTACCTGTTGCATCTGGAGAAGAAGGAAGCCAAGAAAGTACAAGCTCATTGTATGGATTGTTACCACCCCCATGTACAAAAAGGCTACCGGGAAGACGTCGTAAAAAGAGAATTGAGTCACAATTTATCAATAAAAGACCAGTACGATGCTCCCGGTGTCAAGGATATGGTCACAATCGAGCTTCATGTAAGGAGCCTTTGCAGCGAGCCTAGAAAGTTTTTATGATTTTTATTTATTTTTTTATTTCATTGGATAATGTTCAGAAATTTCTCAATACTTTTGATGTTATGATATATATATATATATTTGTTAAAAATGATGTTTATTTTAGAGTTTTATATGGCCTGGCTTGAGGCGGAGTTTTATTAGTTTTATCCAGCTTTATATGTGAAGTTTAATTTCTTGATCTATAAGTTGAATAGATCAAATGAGAAATTTAAAGAGTTTAGACAAACCTTTAAGCTTTTTTTTAGATGTTGTGGCTGGCACATGATTTAAGCTTTGTCAGTATAGTACCAGGTTTCAGTAACTGGCCAGGAATTGATGAGCACAAATGAGACTTCTGTGGCAATGTAAGCTTTCTTAGAGGCCCGAGATAACAGTAAATTACAGCTTCAGGTCTGAACTTAATGTTACAAAAATGCAGCCATGTAGTGGAATAGGGGAGTACTAGCATATACTCTGGTTCAAGTTGCAGTGAACTAGTGTATATAAAAGCATAAAAATTGTACAAATCTTGGATGCTTTTTGATGAAGACTTCTTTCAATTTATATGGTGATCCATGTATGTATTTATATAATTAATCAAGAGTATGTTTACATTCTTGGACAAAAATAAGTAAAGGTACATCAATGTACTGAGGATTTAAGCTAAACTAATGAAATTTTGCGGAAGCATTTCCAAAGACACCGTCCTAGTGAAATATCTAGAGAAGCACAATGACCATAGTAGTAAGCATCTTCCCCTTTTCAGCACTACCAAACCAACGGGCCTCCATCTTCAACAACTTCAGCTCCGGCGCCAAAAAAAGCTCCGGCTATAAAACAAATAGCTTCCTTAGATGTCATCCTGAGCCAGCAGCCAAAACAAGCAGCATCCAAGATCATCATTCCAGAACGTGCAGCAGCAGACTCAACAGCAACATCGCATCCACAAATCCCAGCGAGATTTCTAAAAGCCCAAGAGGAAAGGATTCCGCAGCATTTATTTGAGCCAGTCAACAAACGATCGAATGCTAAGCCACAATGTTACTTGACTTCCCTGTATCCTAAAAACCTCCAGCAATAATGTACAGAACAGTTTCCCATATAGACAACTATTTGGCAGCTGTACGGGATCACTACATCAACACCCGAAACGGAGACAACTACTTACATTCTTATATACCAACTAAGAAACAATCTATTTGCACTTCAAGTATGAAGAGGTAAATTGAATATTTATGTCTACATATACAAAAAAAGTTCTGTCGTTTAAATGATTACAATGGATTATCTAATTTAAAAATAATGTTTTCAGAATTCCAACAATTTGAGAAGTCTTTGAAATGTCTGCTTCACCAAAACTTCAACAGAGATGTTCATATTGTGCAACTAAGCTTTCTACTTTGAACCTTTAGGAGCAAACCTCAAAATCAATGAAGGTTTCTCAAAGGTTCTCACGTCTATCATAGTTCCTTGATCTAATGTATTTTTCAAATCGAATATCTTCTTCAAAATTTTCTTCAGTTAAGTAGAATATTGAACCTAATAAATCAGAAAAAGATCAAACACGTGGGAGAAGAAAAGAAAAAGGTAAAAGAAAGGAAAGGGGCAGCATTGAGGTAGAAGTAACTTCAAAAAACTTCAAAAGAAATATTGAATAGAACCAATTCCGCCAATGATTTCACCGTCAATAAAAATCTTGTTGAATCTCTTCCAATTTCCCAACGATAACTCCATAATCAAAGAACCAAACAAAAGAAATCTAAACGAAACTAGCTCAACCATTCAAATACAAAATTAACCAGGGAAGGTTACCTTGATTTTACGACTTAATTTTCGGCGGAAGTTCATTGAATTTCCGGTAACTGCAATCCCCTCCTTTGTGAAAATTAGGGCTCTAACCGGATTCATGTTTTCACTATTAAAATTCAAGATGACAAACAATGGACGCTAAAATCCGAAAGGCGAAAACGACACAAAACGATTTAGATCAAAATAGTTGAATTCAAGAATCGAACTGAAGCTCTAAATCGTACTTTTGAGATAAGAACAAAGATAAGTGCCCGTTAAAGTTTTGGTGAAGAAGAAGGGGGAGATTGGCTACGGGGGAAAAAAAAGAAAAAGAGGGAGAAAGGGGAAGGAAGGAGACGAACCAGAGGAGAGCGGAAGAAGAAAGCTGTTTAAGGGGTTGAGAAGAGAAGTGAAACCGTAATAGATTAAAAGGGTAAACAAGTCTTTTTAATTTTAAAACTTGAAAAATTATTTTAATATTCATGCTGAAAAATTTAAAAAATGCTGACGCCCTTAAGAATAATTTTGATCTTTCCCACGCCCTTTTTAATAATTTTCCCTTTGTAAATTGGAGTTTTAAGGCTAATCTTAATATATGATTTATAATTTAACAAAAAAGAAAGAAAAGATTAGAAATGAAAATGTGGGACCACATAAGAATTGATGGGCAAAAGTTCTTTCCTAATTAGAAGAAGTAAAAAAATAGAAATAATAAACAGTTATTAACAGAAAATTGTTGACTAACGAAATGATCAATTTTAAACACTATTCATAAGTGATGAATAAGTGTAGTGACCTTTCCATGAATTAAAATTTAATAGTGACCAAACCCCAGAATTTCGGATAGTTTAGTGATCTTCCGGACAATTCACTCAAAATAAAATAAACTGCCAAGTACTGAAGTCGTCAGCGTTTTGTAGATAAATCGTGCTTTTGCCCAATTCGCTGTGCATTTCCCTCTTCTTCGCTCTCTGCAATCCCATTTAAAAAATTATACACAAAAAAAAAAATCCACAAAAACCCACCAAACAATTGCAGATGGAACAAATTCAAGATGAAGAAATCACAGAAGAGCAAAGAAAACGGATTGAGGCCAATCGACAAGCTGCATTAGCCAAACGTAAAGCCATTACAGTTCATAATGATCCGAAGAACAGCTCAAGCAACTCAAAACCAAACCAGTTTCAAAATGATTGGAGGCATGTTAAGTGCAGGAAGCTCTCATCCGAACCCGGAATTGATGATTCAGAGAAACCCATTTACCCTTTTGTTAATACGGGTTCAATTCCAAAACCCCAGTTGGCTCTTTCCCCGCCTCCGCCAACTGAGAAGTTCAGGGCCAGGTTCGAAATTTGCTCCCCGGACTCGTTTTCCATCACCCCGGAACCTGTTCCCGGGTTTGCCTACCCGGGGGAAGAAGCTTGCTTTGAAAAGATCAGTCTTTGGTTATCCGATGTATGTTAATTTTCTTCTTCCTCTTCGGTTTTTTTTTTTTTTCAAAAGTGAATTTTATTAGGATGGTTTCAGCATTGTGTTTAATTAAATCCAAAATGAAGACGAAGTAATAATCATATAATGGCATGGTCCCCAAATAGTGGGGATGAGGTTTGGTGGTTTATTGCTGTAACATTCTCTAAGCTTTGCATGCATAGCAAAGATGTTTGTTTAGGATTTGTATGACAAGGGTTTGTTTCATTGTTTGTGCTTGGAAAGAGAGTTGATATTCATCTATAATGGTTCTGTATCCAGTAGTGTGATTTTGGTGTGCTTTTGTGATGTCTAATGCATGTGCACCCTGTTTAACATATACATCAATCAGAAGGTTAGACTTTTGTGTGAGAATGGATTTAACAATTGTTTGGTCTTTTTTGATTCTCAACAAATAATATCTTCTTTTGGTTTCTTTGTGGCCAAGTATGAAATATTGACCTAATAAATCATTATGTTGGTTTTTTCTTCGGGAAAAGAGAATGCCAAGAACCAGAAAGAACTGCAAAAAAACCATTAAGAGCCAGAAAATTGCTTGTGTTGTGGAACAAAAAAAGATGTTTTGGAAATGAGCGGTCATCCTGTAAAGTAGAGAAAGAAAGCTGTTTTTGTATTTCCACCGAGCTCTACTCTCCATCTGTGAACCTTGTCTGAATGAAAAGATGCAGATTTCATTCCCAGTACTAAGTAATTGTTTATTAATCTCTCATATGACTAGCAGGCCTGATCCCTGTCTACAGTTTCTTTGTTTTTCCTTTGCTTTCAAGAAAAGTAATGCTGGAGATGCGGTTCATATATTTATTTTTTTAATTCTAAAATAGGTTTTGCCATCCCACTTTACCCAAAACATTGAAGGTGGAAAGGCGTCTGTGTTCAAACTTTGGCAGTATGTCTCCATCTTGAGGTCTTTGAAAAGCTGTGAAGGAATTGATTGCAAAGAGATACCCTGGGGAACTTTTAAAGTAATTGAAACTATGGCTGAATCTTATGGTTCTGGCAAATGGAAACCTTGCAGGCCGGAATTTTTACCTGATGAGATGGTTGATGAATTGATAAGCGACCTACCACAAAAGTTGATTGATGCCTTGCTACCTTTTCAACTTGAAGGCATTCGTTTTGGCATAAGAAGGGGCGGTCGATGTCTCATAGCAGATGAGATGGGGCTTGGAAAAACCATCCAGGTATAAATCCTCGTTTGATGCCCCAACAATAGTACTTACAATACTCTGTTGGTTACGACTACTCTCTAGGAAAATAGCTTAGCCAAAAAACATTTTGTTCTTTCACTATCCATCAATTTGTACATATCCTTTACACGTCCAAACGTATGAACTTGTTATCTCTCACAAGAGAAAACTGCTCCGAAGAGCTAAACTTGTATAGAAACGATCGCTTAAGAAAATTGTTGTAGCTTTAACCAGCCCACTAGAGTCTTTCCACGAATTTGCATCAAATTCAATATTCCTTTTTGTTTCTTAAATTCCTTACCTGGAATGTTTGGGTGTCTCATGCAGTTAAATGGACCTCATCTGAGAAACGTTTCATAATTAAAGGGAGATGTATATTAGGTTTCCAAATAGAAGTGCTCCTTTATGCAATCATGTTGTCACTTCTTTTTCGTTTGTTTGTATTAGGGTCTGTGTTCCTTAATTATTCAAGATAAAAATGACAGATTTACAGCTACATTTCTCCATCTTGTAAAATGAAAGTTGTACCATGATGATTTGGAATGTTGACTTTTGTTCAGGCTATTGCAATTGCAGGCTGTTTCAGGGATGAAGGTTCTGTACTTATTATATGCCCAGCTATACTGAGATATTCATGGGCTGAAGAGTTGGAGCGGTGGTTTCCCTTCTGTGTCCCTTCTGATATCCACCTTGGTACTGTGAGCTCTGACTATCTCATTAACTTTTCTTTTTCTTTTTCTTCTTTTTGCTAGGAGGCTGAAATTTGTTCTGGAATTTGTTATTGGTCTACTATGTTGATGTGACTATCGAAATGGAGATGTCTGTTCCCTTCCAAATTGCTGACTGGTTTAATTCCTCAGTCTGCTTGCTTTTTCAATCAATATCTCCGAGCTTTTATAGAAATCTTGGTCCTTGCCCTTGCCTTGGAGAAAAGAATATCACTGGTCAAGGTCTCAAGTTTGCTTTAATCATAACTTTGTTCCAGTATGATTCATAGGAATAGGATGAGTTATTCCCTAGGTTTGTTCCTTTTCCAGTTTTATTTTCCTTATTCCCACTGTATAAGCAAAGGTTGTAGAAAGCTCTGCCATAGATTTTCATCTTCACTGACCGACAGTAGTTCCAACTGTCATGTTTTTGGCACAAATGGTCTCTTTTCATTCATGTTCTGATGCCTCCCAAATTTATAGTATAGGTTTTCTCATTCAGTGATTTCATCTTCTGATCTGTTTCTCCTCAGTTTTCAGCCGTAAAGATAATCCTGCGAATTTAGCGAAATATCCAAAGATTGTGGTGATTTCATACAGAATGCTTCACCATTTAGAAAAGAGCATGTTGCAGCAAGAATGGGCTACCTTGATAGTCGATGAATCACATCACTTACGCTGTACAAAGAAATCAGAATCAGAAGAGGTACAGTACTCACTATCTAAAATTTCTACACAAGTTGGGACAATCTGTAACCTGCCACCCAACCTTTCAAAGCCCAATTTGCTTGAAGCAATAAACTTTCGAGCCTTCTCGGCTTCTCCACGTATTTGAGTTCTCATGGCTGTATAATCTCACAGTAAAGTTCTGGAGGGAGTTCTTGCATTGGTTTATTTATCTTTTGCACCTTGGGGTGGACCATCTTTGCAGTCTGTAATGTGAATAAATCAATGGAAATGTGTTATATTACTCTACTGGTAGTGTCATGTTCCTTGCTACAAATGTCACTACTTAAAAGATTATCAAACCTGTGTTTTCTTAATGAAATTGACGCCCATGTTTCCAAATGATAATGTACTTTTAAAGGAACTGTGCATTATGAATTAGTATTTCCTTAAAGGCATGAGTTCTTTGTTTTTGTTGCGAGACATTCCTGAAGCTGTGAGATACTATCTGGTTCTTCTGTTCTTTAACAGACCAAAGCTGTCTTGGATGTAGCGGTGAAGGTCAAGCATTTAATTCTGCTGTCTGGGACTCCTTCATTGTCGAGGTTGTGCCAAACTGTTGCTCCGTGTTATTGTTGCATCAATTATCCACAACATATACTTTTTTTAAAGCTGTCAGACACACGATGCTGGCTTATCATTTCTGTTATTGTTGTCAATCTTTGTTATCATGTCAACTGCAATCCAAATTGACCTTCGGATTTGTTCCTAGGTGATCATAGACCATTTGAAATTTTTCATCAGATAAATATGCTGTGGTAAGTTCCCTAACCTTGATACTGTTGCACTCTCTGGTTTGATGTCTGGGCTAATGATACTCATAGTTTCAATGTTTCATTGATTTAGTAAATTTTGACAAAGAAGTAAATATCTCCAAATCTATAACCGATGAGTTAAATGCCATCTGAGTTGCTATGAATTTGTAGTGATGAGTGTCATTATTCAAATTATATCTCCTCTTTTTTTTTTTAATTATTCTTTTTAATGCTTCTTTCTGCAGGCCAGGCCTGCTAGGAAAGACCAAATTTGACTTCGCGAAGACTTATTGCTCTCCCAAGTCTTTTTCAGGATGTCAGGGAAAAGTTTTCCAGGTAGTATTTATTATTCTATAGAATAGGAGATTCCTTTTTGCTTGATCATTGAATGATTGATCTTCCTAAAATTAATACTAAATAAAGAGGGAATTAAACAAATATTCTGGGTCTAGAAAGCAAAAGTGTTCTCTTAGATTTTACTGTTGTGGTAAACTAGGGATGGAATCTTGTGCAGTTGTACTAGGCGCTCTTTTCATCTTCAAGGTGGTGGTTATGCAACTAGCTTAACCCTCACTTGAGTCTTATTTCATACCTAGTTGATGTTTTGTTTTGCTCTTGGCTTTTGAAAACTGTCTTCCACTGTTTTTCTGTTAAACTTATGTTCTCTCCAATAATTTACCATTTCCTTCAAGATGCTTATATTGAAATTTATGTTTATCTTGTGATCATGGTTCCAGAAAAAATATTCATTCTATGTTTACAGTTACTCTATCGTTGCACTTACTATATCATTCAATCATTTAGCTTTCTGTTTAATTGGCCGTAAGGCTCAGAAGGTAAAGGTAGCATATTGGTTAGATATCTGAGTTCCTCTTATGCAGTTTCAGGTTAGAACTTCACTGTTTCAAACCCCCAGCAAAAGCTAGTTGGGCTCCTTAGCTAGTGTTTCTTCATTATATTTTACAGTAAAAGTTGGAGATAGGAAGAGATCATGAAACATAAATATAAAAATGTATGGTATGGATTACTTGCCACTATTTTCTTTAGAAGAAAATATAGGTCATAAAGTGAAGACTTCTTATGAAGCGTAAAAATAATCTATCATTGTCATTTGACCTCTTTAATCCTAATTCTTGAGACTCTTGAATTTTGCATTGGAAATGTTGTATAATGTTGATTCCATGGTCTGTACATTGGATTATTGTAGTTGTCTTAATAAACAGATGGCCTTGACCTGTAGGACTTCTCAAAGGGTATTCGATTGGAGGAGCTAAATATACTGCTTAAGCAAACTGTTATGGTGAGTTTCAAACTTCTAGATACTTTTTTATTAGACTTCTCACTTATTTCTGCACCTCTGTTTACCGTTTGAAAATGATGAAAGCTACTTTAATATGTGCTTGTCTGGAGCATAGTAAAGCATATTTTAATATGTAATATATATATATATATAGATAGATAGATATCTTTGCATTGTAAAGCATCTATGAAGTCTATTAACCTCAGCAGGTAGTTTTAAACCTACTCATATGCATTATCACTGTTACTTGAGTGTCAAGCTCTCAAAAGTCTGATTAGTGTTAGGATTAACTGTTTATAAGCCTTTATAGCAGAAGAAAATGATCTCAGAGAACTTTCAGTGACACCTCTTAAACACAATAAGCAAGTTGTCAAATAGAACCATCTTCTCTTTTAGACTTGACTAAGTGTTCTGTGCTGATTCTATTTTGCTCAGTAGAAAATTTGTTTTCCTCAAGTAAAGCTTGGATTAGCTTTTTAAGTGGTTCACCGTTCTGTTTGGATTTTGTATAATCCCTTATTAACAAGATTGTATTTATTCTTCCGTTTGTTGATGCAGATAAGACGTTTGAAGTACCATGTCTTAGCTCAATTACCACCTATACGGCGTCAGATAATAAGATTAGACTTAACGACATCTGACTATGCCTCTGCAATGGCTGCCCTGGGATTGGTTTTAACCAGGTCAGAGGTAGTTTCTGCTGTATCGGCTCTGGGAGGGATAGATGGTGATGCTCCTGCCATTGATAGTGAAGATGAAACTTCGGAACTTCCTGTTGAAGGTCAAGGTATGTGGTTTTTTATTTTTTATGTGTATCATTGTTGAATGCTGTTACCGTAGGTCTGCAAGGTCTTACACAAATCATCTTTTGCTGTAGTTCAATTTAATTTTTTTTCCTGAAAGTTTACATTAACTACTCCATTTGTAACCTCTTCATCTTATCAGGTAAGAGCAACGTTCTTTGGGAAATTCCAAGGAAGGAAGATCAGATTTTGGGCATGGCAAAATTACGTGGTTTCTTTGAGTGGCTCTCAATGCATCCAAGTATTACAAGCTTGGATGTTGAGGAAGATACAGAAGAAAGCCTTAGTTCGCAGAAAATGATAATCTTTGCTCATCATCATATTGTTTGTGACCGGATACAGGTTGGATATGTCTACATTCTGCATAAAAATGGGAAGGATGACGCTCTCTCTTTCCATTTCCCCCTTTTATATAGTGGTTGTTAAGTGCTTTTTGCTTCATCTCTTGCTGATTATATCTTGGATTCTGGTTGTTTGTCTCTTTTCGTATTTGAAAAACAAGTGTCAAAATTTGATTTTGGTGACCACTAGAGAAGAACTTTTTATTTCACTGGAATTTTGATGTCATCTGAAAACTTGAACTTCATCTAAGTCATCAATTTATGATCAAATTCTTTTGCAAACGTCTGACATTTTATTTCGTACAGGATCATATTTTGTTTTTTTTTAAAAAAAAAAATCATATAGGATAATCTTTTGTAATTTTCTTTTCTTTTTTTTTTTTGAAAAGGATAATTTTCTTATTTCATATGGGATCATCTTTCACAGTTTTTTTTTTTTAAATAATTCTTTTATAATATTAATCCCGTCAGTTTTCCAAGAGCTATTCCTTCAAAACATGGGATATTTGTTGCAGAAATTTTAATACTTATCATCCAGCAAAGTTTGAAAGCAGCTTTATATGCTTGAGCTCTCTATCCCCTTGATTAAACATTCTGTATGACTCATTCAAATATTGCCTCTCCTTGATTCTCAAAAACTTGAGAATGTAATGTTTTCTTGCAGAACAGAACCTCGCAGGCTTATACGCCATGTACATTTTAGTAAATACTAAATAGTGTCACTAATACAGTAATACTCTCTACAATTCTTATTTCTAAGAGATGATTCCTGCCTTGATAATAATGACTTGAACTTTTTTAAACCAATAATGACATCAAGCTGGTGACAGTTACCAATATAATTTTGCAGTTCCAGAAACTTTAATGCTTATAAGTAATAGTATTTCTGAGAAATTATGTTACTGGGCTAGTGTGTGGAACTGATACATCTCTTCGGACTTATTTAGCTGTTATTCCCTCCCAAGTCCTGAGATACAGTAACTCATAAAATGTTACAAATACCTGTTGCAAGGAGCAATCATGAGGCTTCTCATTTATAATTTAAATGACCCTTTTTTTTTCTCTATGTATATTTTCTCATGCTGTGTGGCAGGTAAGTGATCTACAATTCAGTGGTAATGTTGCATGTCATGTTGATTCTTTCCAGCTCATAGTTCTCCATTTATGCATTTGGCCAGGAGTTTCTTATGGAGAAGGGGATAGATGTTATTCGTATCAATTCACATGTATCTTCCACTGATAGAAATGAAGCTGTTCAATCCTTTCAATCCTCTGCAAAGGTCTACCACATTAATCACCCTTTCCTGTTCTTTATTATTATTGAAGCTCTCATTGACCTTATTCTATGGTTTGAGTGGTGTTGCTTGAGCTTGCACTTGAAACTTCCTGTTGGCTTTTCATTACCTAGTTATCATGCCTACTTTTTTCCTCATGTCTCTGGACGCAAAATATGTAAGACTTATACAAGTTACTCTCTGCAGGTTAAGATTGCTATAATTGGAATAATGGCAGGGGGAGTTGGACTTAACTTGACAGCAGCCCAAAATGTTGTTTTTCTGGAGTTGCCACGGGAGATTGCTTATTTGAATCAGGTTTGCTTAAGATAATCCTTACCCTGTATTTTTGTGGAAGCTTTAAACAAAATCAAAGTCAGCCAAAGTCCAAACAGTCATTGTGTTTGTTATGATCTTGAGTCCCTGCAACATCTTCTTTGTCTGTTGCTTAGCATAATAAGAAAATATCCAATTTTCCGACAGCTACTTCTTCTGTTTCTTTTGTTTAATTTTCCATACATGAAAGAATCCAAGGGGAAAGCTAACATGGTCATGGACTTTACAGTTTCGAGTAATATTAATTTTGTCCTTTCCATGATTTACCCTTGGCCAGCAACTTTTTTGGTAGTGCCTTAACTTCTTTATGTAGTCCTTGCTCAATTCTTTCGGAAGGTTACTTGAGACAGCACATGTCTTCTCATCCTGTAACTATTTTCAGTTTTGGTTGTTGAAAGCTGATCAGTTGGTGTCTCACATTGGACCTTAAGTTTTATGATTTTCCAAAATTTGTTTTTTCACTGTTTTTCTTAGTCATATTAGAAGCAGGAGTATCAAGAGTCCATTTCGAATGTGCTAATTCATGTCCTTTTCTGCATTGAACTATTTCCCATCTTTCTTTTCTTTTCTTTTTCTGTTACTTGTTTTCTGAAAAAATGATAATAAATAACAATAATTGAAAGTTCTGGACTAAGCCTGCTTTTACGATTATTGACGTCAATGACTTTAGAGGATTACCATTTAGATGAAGCAGACTTTCACCTGGACTTTGTTAAGCAACTTAGTTTTGTGTAACCAGCCTACAATTATATCCTTCTACACTTATGTCATCAGAATGTGCCTGCCTTTAGCTTAAAACCATATTTGTGATTCAAATTTTGCCACAAGGATTATTTTTTAGGAGTTTGAGATGCTTGATCGTTCATGTATCTAAATGTTTTTCTCTCTTATAGTGATAGGTAGCTGCATTTTTAACTGTTCTGTGGCAATTTCAATGCAATTTCAGGCTGAATCTCGAGTACATAGGCTGGGACAAACGAAGGCAGTTAATATATATGTTTTCTGTGCAAAGGTACTTAAATTTTCCTCCTGCTTCTGCAATTTGTCCACTCGAGCATAGATTATTTCTTTGCAGCTTTCTTAGTGTTTTCATGTCCTTCAGGGCACTTCAGATGAATCCCGGTGGCAAAAGTTGAATAGAAGTCTCTTTCAGGTTTCACATATTATGAATGGAAAACGAGAAGCAATACCCATGATTAAGGTTCTTTCTTCTCACAGTTGCTTTTGGTCTTAGATTTATTTTTGCTTGAGGTTTTGGGAATGTGGAAGTAAAGTGGCCTGATAAATAGAAAATAATTCTTTTGTCCTGCGCTTTTATATGTCCTTTGTAATAACGTTTTTACGCAACTGGTTTATGCTGGTTTTTTGGCCTGCTTGCGGTTGTCCGTGTAGAACTGATTCTAGAGTAAAATTAATGGTAGTTTATACTAATTTTATGTTGTTAGTACCATAACAAGCAAAGAAAATAATGGAGCTAGTGAAAAAGATACTACAAACTGAGATAGAGAATGAATTGGCATGTGTAAAAAGACATAACTGACCAATGTTTGGGAGATAGTGAGTCCCATTTCTCTTTGCAGTATGAATTTCCACTCTTGTATTGTAGAACCGTGATGATCATTAGTGGCCAGGCCACCTTTCGTTAGTGACTGATGAAGCTGAACTTACGCTTGGTATATTTGTTCAGATTTAAACTTTATGGTCTCCAATTGATTTTGAGTCCTTTGGCAAATAACAATTTCTCAGGTTGAAACTATTTCGTGTCTTGAAGCAACTGGAGGAGCAGTTGCTAGAAATCAAGAGCTAGTAGTTGAGCAACAAATAGACCGTGATGTTTCTGCAAACTATCTTAAAGGTCAAGAGAGTTGCTCCAATGACTCGAATCCATGCGTTCACGAAGAGCACCATGACATTTCCAAACTGGTAAATAAGGGTGCTCAGGCACGCTGCTTTTTTTTATTAGAACTTTTTCATATTTTTGCTGTATTATCTTTCTCGCAGATTACTTAATTTCAAATTTTAATTTTGCCTGTTTGTGAAATCACTGATTCTACCCATTCAGGCCAACTTTTAGACTTGATATGTTTAATGCAGGCTTCCCCACACTTTGAATGCAGAGAATCTTCTGTGGAAGCTATTAGTGAAACTTCTGGAAGTATCTCATCAGATAGTTTGGAGAATTCAATGGTATACTCAACTAAACTGCTGTCTATTCTTTTTCAAACCAAAAGTTGAGGTTCGAATACAATATTGAACATCTGAGAATTTAGGTAACTGCAGAAGATGAAATAGCATTGCATAACGTTGGACCCTCTGGGCAAATTGAAGTTATGGGAAACAGCTTTATCCAAGTAGCCTTTCTGCGCTTTGAGGTACCATTTGATGCATTTTGATTTCTCAAGATGTTTTGATTTAGCTACTTACTAACGCTTATGGGTCTATTATACTTTCTCGTTCCTTAGTTTGTTCAAGGATGGGGAATACAATCATCACCTATTATGGGATATATATAAGCTTGTAATAATGTATCCTTCAAAGTTTAGGATATTGTCCGCCGAAAGATTTTGGAATCCAGTAATGAGTAAAGCAAGTATCTCAATTTGCAGATACCAGCATTTACTCAAGTTTCCTTTAACCTACATGCTTGCAGAAATTCCCAATCAGCTAGATCATCTGCTTTTTTTCTTTCATCCTCCACAACATAATTGAGTTTCAGACCACTATCATGTAATATCTTAGTTATTCAAAAATTTGGTTTGTCTCTTCAAATTTTGTTATGATTGTCCACTATCTAAGCTACAATATGATGTTTGAAAAGGAAACAGGGAACAAACTGTGTGGACAATGTTTAGAATGGGATTGGTTGAGTTAAACTAAGTAGAATTTGTATTGGAAATGTGAACAGTTGTATCCTTAAAAGTAAGATAGTGTGTGGAAAATACAAACTCTTAACATGAGAAATGAGATGAAATTGGGATTCAAAAAGCTGGTCGTCCACAGGCCCATATTTGTTTAGAGCTGATAAGCTGTTCAGAATTTCAACTTCAATGTATCTGTTTGTTCTTATGCTCTCCTATAGAACGGTGATTCGACCGGCGATGCTTTATGGATCCGAGTTTTGGGCAACTAAATATGAAAATGAGCAAAAAATGCGAGTAGCAGAGATGATAATGTTAAGCTTGTGGGTGTACTAATTGGATCGGATTAGAAATGATTGTATTAGAGATAAAGTAGGGGTAGCTCCAATAGACGAAAAAATGAGAGATTATCGCTTGAGATGGTTCGGGCATGTGCGTAGGAGACCGGTAGAGGCCCCGGTTAGGAACGTAGAGACTATAGAATCAATGATTCAAATTAAAAGTGGTTGGAGTAGACCTAAGAAAACATGGAAAGAAACTATCAAAAATGATTTGAAATATATAAATTTGACCGATGACCGATCGAGCACAATGGCGACATATGATCCATATCACCGACCCCACCTAGTGGGAAAAAGGCTGCTTGTTTTTGTTGTTGTTGTTGTTGTTGTTGTTGTTGTATCTGTATGCTCTTATGCTCTCCTTAGTCCTTACAAACAAGTCCTTTCTGATACACTTTGCAGCATAGCAATCTTGTGAAAGCAATTAGAGTTACCATTAGTTAGGGTACCTTGTCTATTTTCTGGTATGATTTGCTGATAGCTACTTCGTTGAATCGTTCAGGTAAGCCAATACACTGGACGAATCCACTTGTACTCGTGCATACCAGGAAGAGATTCAAGACCACAGCCACTTTTTCTTAATTTTCGGCAACAAGAAGTTGAAGCTAACGAGCCTTCTGAGGATGGGTCAGAAACAGCCAATACCAGTGAAGAAGATCATAACTATTATCGATCTGCTGTTCAGTTATTTCTGAAGGAATGGAATCAATTGAGGCCTATTGAACGAAGAAAATTATTTCTGAAGCCTTTGCAACTGCCGTTGACGGTTGAGTTGTGCTATTTGGCAGAAGCCATCAACCATGATAAAATGGTGCATAATAATGAATATAAAATGTCGTCTGCATTCTTCTTAACTTTTAACAGATTCACTGCTTAACTAATTTGATTTTCATTTTTTTTTCCAGGGCCTGCTGAAAGGTGGAAGCAAGAGGCGTAGTACACCATATAATGAGATAAGCCAGCCCTTGCCACCAGATGCAAGTTGGAGAAAGGTACTTCTTCGAGGCAGCCAGGGCAAAGAGGAAAAAACTTACAGGCAAGGATGGTCTGCAATGGAAGAACCACTCTGCAAGCTATGCCAAAGTCCATGCATGTGAGTTTCAAAGTCTCTTGATCCTTCTCAATCTACCTAAGTACTGTATTTACTAAAGCTCTTGATATTTAGGAACGGCAATTCGAAAACCCCTGATTATTTTGAGGAACTCTTCTGTAATCTGGGATGCTTTCAAGAATATAAGATCAGAACAAGCGGGCCTGCTCTTCGTGAGGTTAGGATTTTGATTTCTTTCTAATTGTTATGTGATAACTGAGCTTTGACCAGGCACATCTTTAGTTGGTTAGTTTTACACCATGAGGTCTTTTCTAGGCTCTTTTTCAAGTTGAACGTGGCATTTGCACATTCTGTAAACTGGACTGCCATGGACTTGTTGCAAAATTAAGGCCTCTTTCAATTGAAAACCGGCAAGAGTTTATAAGAAAAGCAGCTCCTGAGTTAGCGAGACGCAAGAAGCTGTAAGTCACCAATGTAAAGTTTATGCAGAACAATGTAGTTGCAATGTTGTTAAGTTTTCTTCTGTGGTCCTCACATCCATGGTTTTAAGATCGCGCCGTTGAGTTATACTTTATTATCTTATTATTATAGTTTACTCTCTTAGTATGTTAGAATTTTCAATTCTTTGTCAGCTAGAATGCCATTTTCCTATCAAATTTTTACCATGTGAACAATACATTAAAACTCCCAATGATATACGCATTTGAAAGAAAGGGAGTTTTGTTAGTTTTTACAGAATTGGGTCGCAAACTGACTGAGCTAAGGTGATTATAAAACTAATGTTCCAAAAGAGAGCGACTGAATTACATTCAGTTGTCATTGTGAGGGTTTCCGCTATATGTGAAGGACGATTTTAATGATTAATTCTTCGTATCTCAGCATTGAAATTTCGGATTTGTAGAATGTTGGATACCCATAACCATGGTTATGAACTTTCAAGCAGCTACTTCTGCTTTAGCATATTCTGTTCTTGTACTGCTTTTTTAGTACTGAGATTTGAGTTAGGTTTAATGCTAAGACAGCAGTAAAATCTCATTTGTTTCTGTGACTCAGAGAGGTTTTCTATTTCGATGCTCCAAGTGAAATCTATTTGTTCTTTTCATTTGCAGGTTTGACAAGCTTGTTAAATACCCTAAAGAAGGTAATGCTTGGCATGCGGACCACATAGTACCTGTACATAGAGGAGGAGGTATACTCCAAATTCTGAACCTTATTGCTAATGCACATGCTTGACCTGGGATCCCTTAACATTTTCTTAAGAACATGACCACTTTCAAATGACGTTGTATCATCATGCAATATCTTGCAGGTGAATGCACGCTGGAGAACTTGAGGACCCTTTGCGTTTCATGCCATGCAGATGTCACATCTGCTCAAAACACGAAACGTGCCAAGGATCAAGTTACAGATGCACAAGCAAAGAAACGCCTTAAGGTGGCAATGAAGAACCTCAAGAATCCTCGAAAGCCTGGGGAAATTGATGTTAGACCTGAGGTCCTTATTCGAAACCTGTTCCCATCATCAGTTCTATTTTCTCTACATATCCTGGTAGGACTTTAGCGCTCGTTTCTTACAATGTTATTATATACAGGGGAATGAAGAGATGGAAGATGAGCAAAATTTGGTAGAGGAACTCATAGTTGAGGTTCCTGGTAGTGCATATTCTGGACCACAACCTGATGCTCCAACGGGCAGTGAATAGTTTGAAAGGGATTCATCCGATGAGTCTCATTTTGTACAAAGGAGAGAGCTCGTTGACTTTATAATACGGGCCTCTTGGGAAATTGTATGACCATTGATTGACCTTGTACCTGATTGGAATGTTGTAAAATAGCATAGAAACTGTAAACTAGCTTCATGGAGAACTTCTGAATTCTGATTTTTATTCGGAATCTCAGATACTTCTTCAAGAAACTAACCAAAAGAAGCTTATCAAATATATACATGATACATTGATATGATCAGTACGAGAGAAAAACCGACAGTTTCATCAGAGTCTCCCTTTACATCAAATTCTCCATATGATAGCGCAAATCTTTGTTGCGAGAAATCATAACCCAATCACCTTCATCGCTATACTTGATTTTGAACCTTTTACCTTTTAGTTCGAAGCTTTCATCCAATTCTTTCCGCAATTCTTCAATGCTTACATTACTGCAAATGGGAAACTTCACAATGTCGTCTTTGTAAGTTGCCTTAACAATCATGGTGTGGCTGTGATCAATCTCGTCATTTTCTGTCACCCCACTTTTATTCTTTGCCATTGAAGGAACGGAATTCGCAGCTGATGCCTTTTTCTCTCTTGGGTTGCTATTTGGGCGCCGTCTAATCTTGTATTGTTTGACAACTTCAACACTATCAACTCTGTTTTTCTTTCTAGCAGTTGCACTTGCATCATCATTTTCATTGTCATTATTTAAGCGGCGTCTAATCTTGAAATGTTTGACAACTTCAACACCATGAGGCACATCAGATGTACTTGGGGTCTCCTGATCTGATTGAATGGAACAAATTTTGTTTTTCTCTCGAGCAGTTGCTCTTTCATCACCAGTTTCATGGTTATTTCTTGAGCCGCGTCTAGTCTTGAATTGTTTGACAACATCAATAACATCAGACTCAGCAGATGTACTTGGGTTCTTCTGATTTGATTGAATGTAATGAACTTGGTTTTCCTTTCTAACAGTTGCACTAGCATCACCATTTTCGTTGTTACCAACTTCAACACTATAGAATGGTGATGATTTTGTCGATGGAAACTCCTGCTCTTCTCTTTCTGAAATCCCAACAATCCGATGCACATCAAAGTAAACAATATCATCACCATCCGATTGAGAGATTTTGACATTGAATGCCTCGTTTTGTTTTAACCAAAAATCAACATTATGCACAGAGAGCTCTTGAGCCACTGTAGACAAAAATGACTCCAATAGAGTTACTAGATTCCCATCAACGTTCTGCTGGTTCGGGAGAAAGACTTCTAATATTAAAGGAGGAATGTCTGGATGAATTATTGGCATGGGAATAGCAAATGAAGATGCAAGATTGGAGGAACGAGTCAGATGAACAAGAGGGTAACTGGAGATACCATGTTTGCGTGTATCTGTCGAGAAGCATGGCTTATGTAGAGAATATGCTTTTCCAACCAAACCTTCCCCCTCCTTAACCAAACAAGTTGCTTTTGAAGTCATTTGATAAAGCTCTGAAGCATACCTTATATTCGAATCAACAGATGTCACATGAGGGAATAATCCGGTGATCTTACCTGCTGCACTTGAGGAATTGCAGGAACTCTTGTCACTTACAGCCGCAGGACCACTGTACTTACAAGGAACCCATACTTGAACAAGAGGTAGCTGGTGTTTTTTCCTTACTATCTCCAGAATGTCATCCATTCGTACTTGTGAAACAAATAGATCTATCTCGGTCTGGAACAATGGAAATTTTAATTAACACGAAGCAACCATAGATTATTGAAAGAAACATGCTTTAGATATAGTAGCAAGCTTTGCCCGCCTCAACTTACATCATATCTCTTTTTGAGATGTGAAGCTGGACACTCAAGACCTATCAGCTGCAAAAGGCAAATAACAAAATCAATGTTGAGAGGCAAAAGATGCAATGTAACTCGAGGAAAGTTCGATGTAACTGACTAATGAACACAGTTTGAAACTGTTACATTGAACTTAGCTTGAAGTTTGAACAAAACCTATGAAAGCACACAACACAAACCTTAAGTGCATCGAGGATCCTATCAAATGGGATTAAAGATTCTGGATTTGTACACTTTCTACATGATAAGCACTCAAGAATGCCATAACAGTTGTTCTCCTGCCCATCAAATTCATAAAGTGGCAAAACCCAATACTGCTTAATGCCGCACACCACAGCCAAATCCTTCAGTGGAAATTCCTGTCCGGTGTAACATTCTATGTTTGGACAATATTCAGGGAACTCCTGAGTGAAAACCCTCCCAAAAGGACCAAGGGGACTCCCATCATTTTCCACCACTCTGTGATCAAGGTTCAGGCTACCTGACCTATAAGGCAAGAGTCCACCACTATAAAGACGACCAAATCCAATAGATCGGTCCGGTGCTGACAGAGATAGCAGTGTGCAGCCTTTGTCATCTTTTATAGGTTTCCAAAACTGTAACAAGCCTTCTTCTTTCCAAAGTGAGTCAGCCTCCAGAAATCATTTAATTTTGTCTTGAATTGACAGCTGAAAATGTTGTGATGGTGCTGCAATTGAATGTAAATATGAATGCGCTAGATGTTAATTGGCAATCTATCTTAAACTATTCAAAACCAAAAGAAAAAGGATGCTACCATCCTAATTAGTACAAAATAAACTGAAGCAGATTACGTAAAATATAGAACAGTAAGGATCTCCACAGTTTTAAGAGGAAAAAAAAAAAAACAGAATGAGAGAAAGCTCGGTTACATGCTTCTGGCATTCCAACTGATCCAGGTACAGGCTGATTCTGTGCTTGCGGCATAATACTTTTGTCCTTAGCACTTGAGGCTTCTTCTTCTGAGCTTGCAGTCATTTCAGTTTCAGCCAAGTTTCTATCGCCTGAACATCAGGTATATGTTGGAGGCTCCGGGTGCAATCTCTCTGCTGACACAGAAGGTAAATGGCTGGATTCTGTTGGAGTTTGTCACAACAAACTCACTTTTTCAAATCTTGTTCTTTTACCTGAAATTGCATGAATAAAAGTTTAGTATAACATTCTTGAGCCAAATTCTAAAGTATCTATAAGTAGGATCTATGTTTCACCTCTTAACAATATTTATTTGTGTTACAAGGCAACGTTTTCGTAGTTTAAAAATCTGCAAAACAAAGAATCGATATATAAACGCTTTATAATTCATGAATTTTCATTCAACGACACATTCATATCAGTGGTTCATAAATCAGTAGCGGCCGTTGTAACATCTTTGCAAATCTTCTTGTTTTATTGAAAAGGTCATAAATGAGATCCACTATTTAATGCTAAACAGAATTCTAAAAGATACAAGAAGAACAAACATTTGCAACTCTTACCTCGTTTTTGTATGCTTATTTCAACAGAAGATGATTTAGAAATTCCCTCGTTCATAGCTTCAGACTGTATTGTTTCGGATATGCTTCCAGCATTGTGTATCCTACTCTTACCTCGTTTTTTCTTCCTCCTTTCAACAGAAGATGATTTGGAAATGTCCTTGTTTATAGCTTCAGATTTTACTGCATCAGATTTGCTTCCAACACTTGAAGAACCATGACCATGTTGCTCTTTTGAGTCGGCAGACGCAGAATCTAGCAAATGACAATTATCTATATTGGGTCCATCAATATTTTTATTCTGGCTCGATCTCTTTTCTTTAGAAGCACGATATTTTTCTCTACGCAATGCATTTATTCTTTCTTTCCTTTCAGCGTACATATCTTTGTACCGTTCTCTTCTCGAAGCATTTATCTTTTCTTTTTCTTCATGACTCAATGCAGTATACCTTTCTCTCCGCCTCTGGTTTTTGGCTAAGCGAGCATCAGAAACCCTTTGTCCTTTTGCATTCTCTGTTGATTGCAAGGTTGTTTCAACCGCACTTTCTTTAGCTTCCATCTTTTCTTTTTCTTCATCACTCAGATTATACTTTTCTATAATCTTCTGGTTCTTAACCGAACAAACTTCAGAAACACCTACATGTTCTTCATTGTCGGTTGGTTGCAAGGTTACTTCAACCAAACTTCCTTTCTCACTTTTCTCACAGCTATGACACTTGTCAGTTACAATCTTATGCGCTAGTAAGTCCCTTCTTTCTTCAGTCATTGTAACTTGAACTAATCTGAGCTACTCTAATATCAAACTTTCTGTTCCATTTTAACATAAAGAACATAATTAGAGCTTCAGATAATACTACTAACAAAGGTGTAATATATTCAATATCCTAGGACAGTAAGAGTGTATATCTGCTTTTAATTACCTAGGCTCAAATTCACATAGCAGCCATTTCAGATAGAAAAGAGAAATAAAAACAGAATTTTTATCCAAGCAACAGTGGAAATTAAGAATGACAGAAGGCTAAATAACAAATATGAAAAGGATTCTTTTTGCCCTGCTACCGTCCCCATGGAGTTGTAAAAGCAATTCACTTGCAAATCAAATCATCAAGAACAATCCAACCCTTAGTTAAACCAACTCAAAATACAGTTTGCATGTAAAGTGTAATTGACTGTAATACCCAAGGAATTGACAGGCAAAAAAAGAAAAAAGCAATGAAGTAAGTTGCATAAACAGTTATAAATGAATTCCCACTGTTACCTGCAAGTGCAGTAAGGTTGATTATCTGGGCCATGAGCCAAAAGATGCCAAATTAAACTCTGCATAGAAACAAAGGGAGGTTAAAGTCAAGTTCTTTGCAATATGTTAATAGAACTGAATGAATCAAAGACAGGAGAGAACTGGAGAACTCTGAAGAAAAAGAAAGGGGGGAAAAGAAGAACATCAAATGGGCCAGTAAAAGGAGAAAGGAAAGCACAAGCAACCAAGACAATTACAGTAACACCAAACCAAAACAAAGTTACAAATTTCACCTTTTTTTTTAAGTCACAAAAAATGGAGGGATTGGCAGTAATAAAGGGAAATCTTACCTGGTTGATTGATCCACTGTTCTGGGCAGGAGATGGAAACTCAAATAAGACAGTATGTTATGAAGTACTCTCTAGTTTGTTCAGCAAAGTTTGATTAAGACGAGCTTTTTTACCTCCCTTTTGTTTACATGCAGAGTTTAAGTTGACATCTTTTGGCTAAATGACCCAAATCATCCACCTTACTGCAACAGCTAACAATGCATTTGTGTTTTCGTTCGAGATTATTTATCAAACTTTCTACTTGCAAGAATAGTTCAACTGTAAATTCTTTGTTCAATTTTTAAAATAATGATAATTATTGCTTTTCATAAAGAAAATAAGAATGTAAGAGCATTTGAATTTCTAACAAACAGTGAGAGAAATGTATGTAATAAGGTGCATTTATAAAACTTGGCAGTAATGAAATGTTTCATTTTCGTAAAAAAAAAAAAAAAAGACACAAATCTATACAGAGCTTGGTGTTTGAGAAATTTCTGCTTTTATCTTCTGTGAAATGAAAGGTCTCTCAAACTGCTCAAACTGCAACTTCTGCTTTCTGCCTAGATCACATCCATCTCTGGTACACATTAATCAACACTTTTCTAGTGTCCCTCAATGTATTATTTTTAAAAAAGCTAGAATACGTTTGTTCCCCGAGTCGAGAGCTTGGTGTTTGAGAAATTTCTGAATCATCATACAGAGAAAAACTGTTCTGCTCTGTCAATAAAAGTTCCTGGAAAACTGCAGTGCAGCATCAGAGCGGAAGTTTCAAACTGGGTGCTTTTCGGCACCATCTCTTCAGACAATTTCCCAATCTTATTTTCTCTTTGATTTCTCATTTTGATTTTACTACCGTTGGCACCAGCACTTCTCTGGGGTAGAGATCTAGAATTGCGAGTACTGTGACGATGAGACTTCTGAGAGTTAGGGTTTTCGACTTGAGTTTTTCTGGGTTCAGCACTCGACTGGTTTGGTTCTCCAGCTTCATCTGGAGGAGGATTATCTAGTGCTGAGATGGATTGAACAGGCGGCATATTATTTCTGTATGACTTTATCAAGGAAAGAAGCATATCTGCGCTAAGTTCTTGCAGAACAACTTTTTTGTTCTGCTCGCAACCAAAGCAAGCAGCAATCACGGTCCCAGCCAATACTGGCATTAACTCAGGGTCGCTGAAGAAATCAAAAGGCAAATCGCAAACCTGTTCCAAAATCATATAACAGTTGAGATCAATCTGCATCGTTGATTTTACTAATTGTTATCAGAACTCAGAAGTTGATGTACCTTATGAAGGATGGTAGGACTCTTTCCCCAACGAAGAACGGCTTGATTCTCATGGTGGAATAGTGCAAAGTAACCAAGTAAGGACAAAGATTCCAGCAGCAATTGACCAATCTGAACACATACATAAGCAAACCTATTAAGAGATTCCTCTCTAATCAAATCTGCGTTTAAGTGACACTAGTCAGGCTACTGCATCGATTCCAGGCAAAGCAACAATACCAAGAAAGAGCATTAACTAAATTAGTTATTGATATGCTCGGACAAATCAACTTCCTGCCAACAACTCTGGTTGTCATGGATTACCTAACAAGGTTGTATTTCAAACAATAAATAGGAATACACTGAAAGGATATTATGATGTTAATCATTTGCAAATTACAAGAACCAGAGAATCATTGAGATCCGCAGAAATCCGTCCAGTTAGTAGAACATTAAGATTTTAATCCAAAGACCAGAGAAATTTTGAACACTAAGAGCCTGCGTGTAACCGAACTTAAAACAGTAATTAACCTTCAACATTAGTAATTAAGATAGAACTTCGTAGTTGGTACAATACAGCGTTAGACATCATGAGGAATTTCACCCAGAGAGGTGTTTTCACAACAGAAAACAAATATTTTTGGACTTCCAGTTGAAGATATAAACAATGTCATGTCATGTTAATTAACTTTTACCAAGGAAAAATCAATACACATACTAGGTAAGAAAAAAATAATTTCCATGGCACCCAAGCCTAATTGCACAAGGAACATTCGAAAAACTACATAAACCATCTACGTAAAATGAAAAATCTGAACATAAGCACAAATAAGCAGTGCATTTACAGAGAAACAGGTGCATACACAAAATGTGAAATCAGAGCCAACTATATTAGAACGCAAAGAAAGAATTTTATGAAAAGCATGATATGGAGTTTCATCTATCCATAGCATCACCTGATCAGTAGCCACACACCACTTGCTTGAACAATGAGAAAGAAGAAAACTCATCAAGTGGAAAAATTCCATTTTCAGGTCTGGTCTAGCCTGTTACATTCAAGAAAAAAGGAAATAGATAAATACTAAAATAGAAAAACAAGGATCAAAAGCTGCCAAGAAATCAACCCAGGAAACAAAAAACATAATCTAGAATTTTAAATGTGCAGTTAAAATATACTACTCACAAGCATCCTCTGGATAAAAGTCACATCAATTAGCGCCAAATTATTTAAAACCCTCAAAACTCCAGTGGCCACTTCCTCAAAATTGGAAGGAAGAATGTAATGGACCTACAAAAATGTAACCACCATTAGTATGCCCAAGCAGTTATTCATGGGAATTTGACCATATGAGGATAAAATCCAAAATCGTATAAAGTCCAAAATCATGATAGAATTTAACTACATAGAAACAATGATGACCTGTAAGATTTACCTAAAGCTCAAACATAAGCAGAGTCTCATGCTATCTTTAAGATGCAGCAATAAACTCTAATAATTACGACAACAGCTAAAACATACCTAGTATCTTCAAAACTTCGTTTCAATAAAGAGAGGCTGTTTAAATACGATCCAAGATGCATTGCTGCTTTTGATGTATTGATTTTCAGCAACTTTTTAAATTTAAGGACCGGAATTTAATTTTAGCCATTTTTCAATATTAGCACAAAGCTGGAAGAATTGTCAATGACTCCTCCAACTCCATTTGCAAAGGCCACAAATAAACTCTGACCATTGAAAAAGTTAAAAACTTTTGCTGGTTCTAAAAGTAAAAACATTATCAATGAGTGTCAAGGTTTCAACTGAGCATAACAGTTCACGTCTTAAAGAGGTGACCTTAACTCGGTCTTGAAAGGTGTACAAATGCTTGCTGGGATTATGTTTATCAACGATAGTAAGAAACGAGTAAAAGCCAGAATGTACGGTGCTCATACTCATAAAAAGGTTAAGGAAACAACCTTCGCTCATCAGCAATGATGAAGACTTTAAAAAAGGATAAGAAAGCACGGTCATGAATTTACACTATATTTACCTGTTCAGAAGATAGCCTATTGTTTGCCTGCAAAAGCACAGCAGTCAACATGGAAGGCAGGCAAACCAATCCAGTTTCAGATATTGCAGAAAGTAGGAAAGCTACAGGTTGTTTCAAACCCGGCTTGACTTCCTCCTTTTGACCTGTGACCAAATTAACAGACTTCTCTACTTCCTTGGATGAAACAAGACAATGGACGACATCATCGGATGGAATATTCAGAGACTCATGTTCACCATTTAGAACTCTGTTCTCTGTGTTAATCGGTTCATCTCCATCACTGTATTCCTTTGAGGTTGATAACTTACCAGTGTTAAGTGATACATCACGGGGGTTCTGTTCTGATACATCAGGGAACCCTTTCAAATCCACAGCCTCATTAACTTTTTTCTCTATGCTCCCTTTAATGCAAGTTATTTCCGATGAGAAAGATTCCCAATCAATTGAAAAAGAACTACCGAATCTGGCTGTCACAACCACCAAAAATTTAATGCTCAAGAGAATAGATGAAGGGAAAGGTGAGCCTTCAACATGTGGCCTATCATAAAGAGCAAAAAGGTCTCGCAGACGATGGAGAATTTGGTATGCAATCACAAGCTCCACCAGACCATCTTGCATCTGAATTTTATTGTTATCAGAGCTGGCATGACCTAAAATTGCTGCAACTATTCCAAGAAACCCATCCAAAATTTCAGAAATAGAATCCAGATTATCACTTGATTTGCTAGAAATCAAGCTGTTGGATCCAGGAACATTTGCTGACGCTGCAATTTTTATATAATTCTCAAGAGCTGTGGCCAACATGGGAATTATTGGGGGTAAGAAATTTTGTGAGAGAAAATAACTACGATTTGTGGGCACCGACAGGACCACCTTTAGAAGCTTTAAGAGGCACAATGTAACCTGGCAAGCTTCTGGTTTTGATGTATGAGAGGCAGGAAGAGCAGAAGCAATAAAATCAAGAAGACCAGCTTGGCGAGAAGCTAGCAGCTCGGCATCCTTTCCTTCCAAAAACTGAAAGAAAGTAGGTATGAGTATGACTATTGAGCTTGAAATTATAATGAAAGCAAAGAAATAAATTATACAAACAATATAGGGGGCTTCCGCAATGTGAACTAAATGAAAAACCCCATCCCAGTTACCTACTTGAACTTAATCTCTTTTAGGTCATATAACGGAAAGGATAAGCATTAAAGAAAGAAAAAGATGTAGAACCTTGATCATTTCAGCTGTTATAAGTCCGAAACTCCCAGTTCCTTCCTTTCTTGCTTGGCGTAACTTTTGAAGTTCTTGAATCCATCTTCCAATTTTCATCCTTGCAGTTCCTATTGCACTTCTGTACCCAATACCAGTAACTTCAACCCCGCCTGAAGGCTCAGAGAATTCATGTTTCAGAGACATAAGTTTCTGACGAATTTTCTTGATCTTTCGTTTCAGTGACTGTTGTGGTGTCATATTCCCAGTAGGAAGGGTACATGGTCCTGAACTACGGGTTTCATTTTCTGGACATTCGTCACTGCTATTATTTGGTGCACTTTTACCCTGATTCTCCTTGTTTAAAGATCGTCGCAAGAATGGAGAGGTTTGATCCCTGAAATCCATGGAGGCTTTTTCCCGGATTTGCTCCAAATAAACTTTCCGACGTTGTTCACTTTCGCTAAGTCTTTCGGCCAACTTCTGTGCCAGAAGTTCAGCTTCCTCCTGTTGAGCTTTGGCCCTAACCTCTTTTCTGCGCATTTGTTCCATGGCCTTTGCTTCACGTGCTGCACTGGATGCCTTCCGCTCTTCTTCCCTTCTTACCTGTGCCTCTTCCTTCTTACGTTGAGTTTCAGCAATCCGTTGTAACTTTTCTGCATCAAGAAGCTTCTTGCGCTCTAAGACAGCTTCTTTACTTGCCAAATCCTCTTTCTGTTTAGTTTTCATTTGCTGACGTTTCTCAGCCCTTCTCAACTCGGAATCATGATGTTTTTGGCGAAATATTAACTTTTTGTTTTCTTCGTTTAATGAAGTAATGAAGCGAACCTCATTAACTTTGCTGCTTTCGTCGGTGGCTCTTCTCACAACTTGAGCAAGATAAGCTTCATGCCTAGATTCTCCACGTTGTTGGCGAGAATGCATCTCCTCTCGTAACTTCATGCTCCGTTCAGCCTGAAACTCATTCACGCGATTAAGTTTTTCTGATGTCCGTTGAAGCCTTTGAATTCTCTCGCTCTCAAGTTCATTTCTTATCCTTGTTGCCCGTGCATGCTTCTCTTCTGCTTCCTTTTTCAGATCTGAGGGAGATTTTTTCCTTTTATCAGGAGACATAAGTTTATCATGCAGAACACGTGCCCTATCAGCACTCTTCCTGCTAAGACCCGGAGAATGTGAGAAACGGGAGGAAACACGATGTGGAGTTCCAAGTATGTCTTCCCAGTTCCTCTTTTCTTTCCATGCATCCATGGAGTTCCATAAACTTCCATTTCTCTTTTCCTTCTCCCTATCAGAAGCAGGGGTTAGCCTTCTCAACTGATCGACTGATTTTGAATGTTTTTCATTTGTACTATCAATCAGTGTTCTATCTTTCCTAGGAAGTGGTTTATTATTTTCACAAGCAGGCCCAATCACGTCCCTCTTATTCCTTCCAGCAACTCCGAGAGAAGAATCTTCTTTAGGAGGCAACCTGGAAGCTTTAGAACTGTATCTGTTTGTATCTGTGTTTTTCTTTTCTTTACTTAAGTTCCCCTGAGGAAGATCTATCAATCCATTCTGCTTTTTTGGAGTTGAAACTGATTCTCTCTCCTTGGCTTCAGATTTGCTACCCCCCTCCTCCACAGTATCACTGCTTCTGTAATGGCCACCAGGCCCACTAGTAGCACGTGTGCTGGCTCTTTCTTGCTGAATCTTCCTAAATGCCTCAAGAGATGAAGAAAGTATCTCGGCCCTCCTTGGGGAAGTTGTCATTCGACGTACCTAAAAACTAAATTCATTAAATTAGATTAATAAATAACAATTGAGATAAATACCATAATGCTTTTGAGAAAATTGTAATAGATCATCACATTTTAATAAGTTCTCGAATTCATCAAACTAAATTTCCTCCAAAACCATGTCATTGTTCACAACTAAAGTTATGAGAAGAAAGCACCCATAAACTATTGCTATTGGTATGATGCAAGAGGAGCAAAGGGATGAATTTGCCTCAATCTAGTTACTAACAAAACAAGAAGCAAAGTGTATAGAGCCAGTTCATATTACAATATGAAACAAGAAAACTATCACCGAAATAGCATGAACACTTGATAACCACGTAAAAGCATTGCTACTTGAAGGAACTGGTATATAATCTTTATATTCCGCATTTAGCCAAATTACAGACAACAATAACCATTAATCATATCGCCTCACACATGTAGCAATTGTTTAAGATTGTGAAACGCAAGAGGAAAACAGCACTGACCTCCCATGACAGTGCATGCGGCCGGCGATGATCCGACTTTATGGTTAATGGTGTATCATCATGTACATGAGATGAGGATTTTTTCACTCTCTCGAATTCCTCCACCCTTGAAGTTAATTCTCTAAAATCAGATGCAGCTTCTTCAAGAACAAGAATACCCTCTTTCATCTGATCTGTATCACATTCTAATTCACAAAGAAGATACAGTTCATCTACAGCCCTATTAAGATTCTCAAAAAGAAAACACCAAAGGCGTTCCCTAAACCTTTCTTTGCTTTCATCCCCGGTTACATCAATAGGATCCATAACCTGGGCGATCTCCAAATCATCGAGCACTGCACTATTTGCCTCGATAGAGCCAGGACGAGTCTTATCAGGTGGATCTAGCTGTAGATTTTTAGAAGGCACCATCTCCAAATGATTACCAACAAGGGATGCTTCCGAAAATTTAGAACCATCTGTTTCAAGCATAACGGCTGGTGGAGTAAACATCAAACCCTCTTCAGAATGAGTACGTAGTTCCTTTGATCCAGAACATTTTGTTCCGACTCCAAGCTCCATAGACGATGCAGCATCAACTGACAGCACCGACATCATTGAACTCCCATCAACAACATTTATTTTAGAGATCCCAGAACTGCAAGACTTACATCCAACACCGGGTGTCATAAGCAAGTTACTTGCAACAGATGGAAGGGGTTCCAAAGATCGACTAACCGTTCCAACATCTTTGGCCTGCTTATTTCCACAATTTCCCCCAGAATCAGGCATCCTACAGTTTGGTATATCAACATTGCTGCACGGGCTGAGAGCATTCATGTCTACTGGGGATAGTTCATTAACCTCCCTACAGTTAACATCCAGAGATATTGTCTCCGGGAAAACTGAAGTTGATTCTAAAACAATAGGGCTTTCCTCAGAAGTTATTGTCCGATATTTATTGTCCTTTTGGGGCGTAAAGGAAAAACATGAAAGGGAATCACCAGCACTATCAGATTTTGTACAATCTAGTGCAGAACTTCCGGTCGTAGCAAACTCAATTTCAGCTCCAACAGTTTTTCTCGGATGCAAGAGCAAGGTGCTATCATCTAAATCGCCCCACTTAATTTTTGGGAGTACAACAGCAGTTTCTGTGGGAGACTCACAAAAATCAGCTCCTTGACATTGTTTCTGGGTAACTCCAACTTCAAGAGAAGCATCATGGATGCTTGAACCTAAACATAGGAGTGATGCAGACACTCAATATCGCAACTGAATCCCATTAATGAAGCTCAGATAGTATCTTACATTCACCTATAGCATGTATGTTACAGCCAAATTGTTACCTGGGTTTAGCACAAAATTATTTTGGTTTGCTGGTTTTGAAGGCTGGCAAACATAGCTACGATTGTCAAATTTTGCCGACAATGAAGGTTTGCTTTGTTGATTATGAAAACTGGTTTTCATAGATTGGACTGGAACCCCACCATGTATCGAGAACTTTGAATTACTTCTATGCTTCTGCACCCCAAAAAAAAGGAAAAGAACAGAGAAAATATAACAAATGAGTCAGACAAGCTGAGAGCTCAGAGCGGAATGGGAGGCCTTCCATCTATATTGCCAACGACCAGAAAGGGTACAATATTTCTCAATTATAAAAACACTTAGGAAGCTAACATAATCTAGATACACCAAGCGTAACAAGAAGCTTTTCCGCACAGATAAAGAGACAGCAATAACAATACCTCATTTGTTATTACAAAAGAACAGGACTGGCAAACTAATGGACACCAAAAATCCGAGGGCAGCATAACAACAAAACAAGGAATTCAGAAACTCTGGCTTCTAACAAAGTTTTGCATGATCAAAGAGCATTATGTCGCAGTTAAGCAAGACAGTTTTAAAGTCATCTCACAGCAAAAGTCCAACACTAGCTATTAGCTTAAGGTTCAGGGAAGGAACTAGTGGGCGAGAATACATTAATACACAAAACTCTAAGATATTCATGCAATTAATATTGTTCTTCATTTGCCATCATCATTGTTGGACCAAACATTCATTTTTCACTATAGCCTAACACAATAATGTCACAAGTGAACAAAATGAATTCAATCTCCAGAAAGATACAAAGAGCAACGAATAACCTAACCTGGCAATCTGCCCAGGACAGAAAGAAAGAAATAAAGGCGACAGGCTCCTCATCAAGAAGAAATATGGAATAGCTCTACACTTTCACATTAACTGATTTTTCATAATAAATTCAAGGCAGCATCCAAAATGTGGTAAAAATGCAAACTTTCAATCTGAACAAGAACATGAACATCAGCAATTCCACTCAGAGGAAAAGGGTCGCATAAAAATCAAACCTTTTTAACTTGTAACCATCCAGAGCCCTGATCATCCCCACCTTCACCGCTCTCCATAAATAATCCCTAAATTACAACATTAAGGAAAGGGGATAAAGAGGAACTTTCTTCGGTGACAGGACATCATAAGGATTCAGACAATGGTACATTATTCCTCGTCTTAGACAAAAAGAATCCAATTCAATAAAAGGTTACAAACTTTACATTTATTTGATAATCAAAAGCATGGGTTTTAATCAAAAAGCCTCTGATTTGAACAAGTTGATCATATACACATTCAAGCCCTTATTGAATAAGAACTTTTGGGGTTCTTAAAAGGGTTTACAAGTACCCAAATGTTAAAAAATAATGGAAATGAAATGAGTTCAGAAAGCTGAATGAAAAGAATGTGATGAAAATGGAGACTGTAATTGAACTATTATTTTACAGAAAAAATACAGAGGAAAGGGATTAAAATTGGAATCCAAGAATTAGTATTGACAGAGAGAATGATTAATCTCACTGACTAACTTTTCAAAGAATTGTGACGTTTGCTGTCTTGTTCTTATTTGTGGTGGCCCTTTTCAAAGATTTGACCAGCTCCCCACTATACAGAGATATAAAAAAAAAAAAAAAAAGTTGTGGTAAATAATTCCATAATCTACCTTCCTCGAATATTATGATTTTGTCAATTGAATTCCTATAAACTTTAGGAATTGAATTACTATTTAGTTCTTTTTAAGAAAATATTGATTGTAGTATTTGGCAAGTATGCGACATTTATTTTGGGTTACCTTATTTGCGATATTAATTTAATATTTGACATGTGTCTGTTTCAATAGAGCTTACTCCCTCCATTCCAAAATAAGTGTAGTTCTACACTTTGTACATAGTTTAAGAAACTTTTAAATAGGATAATAAAATTACTTGAGTAACCTTAACCAACCCCATTAAAAAAATATCCACCAATATTATTAATTATTTTGGGAGTAATTTTAGAATTTTGGATAAAAAGTGCATTAAATGTGAGAATGACACTTATTTTAAAATTTTTCCATTTTGATAAAACGACACTTATTTTGGAACGGAGGGAGTATTATAAATGTTAAAGTTTTTTAGTTAAAGTGTTTAGTGCATATTAATTAAAAAAAAATAGAGACAGTAAAATTATTCCAAAACAAAATAGTTGATAACGGTACAAAATAATCACCTTATCCATTCAAACAGTAAGCACAATTGATAATAATTTTATATTTTGAACACAAATGTCGATTAATATATCAGGAAATCTAATTTTATTTGATGGTGTTAGAAATGGATAATGTTAATAGAATATTAATTCAGAGAAATTATTTAATGCAGTAGGATTGTGCAATCAGATATAATAATAAGGGTAAAGTAGTAATTTTGAGGAGAGAGATAATTTCTACGGGAGTTATATCACCAAATTAAGGGGATGCTAATACTTGTTACACTAAAAATCAAGCTACATCAGCACCTAATAATTTTTCATTAATGCATTGGTGATGGAAGTTTTCAAACAAGAATTAATTACGAATTACTACAGAAAAAAAGAAGAAAAAAGAAACGGGCAAACACAAATCATTACGAATTAATTAATCATTATAATCATTATAAACGTGCACACAGGTTAATTGATTCATTGTTAAAGCACTGGATTATTTCCCGTTTCCACGCACATCAAATCATTACGAATTAATTAATCATTATCTTTGCAAATTATAACTTGGTCAACTTCTGCAATTTTAGTGGATCTTTCCATAACCATTTAATTTTTATTATTTTTTAGACAAAAATGACGAGTTAATTGAACTTTGAAAGGGACTCCAATGCAAAAGATTTATTTATTTCTTTCTTTTTTGTTTCACTTTGCCATTCAATTTCCATTTATTTCAGTTTGAAAGTTAGAGGAGGAAGAGTTGCTTAAAAGTGAAAAAGACCAATTAGAAGTATTTCTAGAAAATAAAACCGGAAAAATGTAATACTTTTTCTGTCTCAAAATTATTGACCAATTTGAGATTTTACTTTTAACACAATTTGAACTAAAAATGAAAATACAAACTGGATAATAATTATGAACGAAGAGAGAATTACTACTCCATCCATTCTAATTCAATAGGCTCACTTTCTTTTTGGGATGTTTCAAAACTCTCACTTCAGACAAGTAATTAAGTTTTATTTATAAACTCTCTAATATACTCTTCAAGTTTTATTTATAAATTCTCTAATATACTCTTCTCATTCTCTGTGAAATCGAGAACATTTAATTAATTTCAACTATTACTATCTCATATCAATTAATAACCCTCTAGTCATTAATAAGGGTGTAGTAGGAATTACAGGAAGGTAGACTTAAACTATATTACCCACTTTTTCTTAGTCTCCGTGTATTTCGAAATGGACTTATTAATTGGAATGGAGAGAGTACAACATACTTCCCAAAGTCCGGCCGACGACTGTAGCCCTAAACCCACTGTAAATGGAAAGAAAGAAACCGAAGTCCAAAACGGTGTGGCGGAGGCCGCCTCCAAAATGGACAGAGCTGCCGCGGGAAATAACCGCGAACATCTTGCAGAGGCTGGATGTGGAGGATATTCTGGAAGTCGCGCAGAGAGTGTGCAGGACCTGGCGAAGCGTGTGCAAAGATCCTTCCATGTGGCGAAAAATTGATATGTCTTTGTACGATGATGACGATGAATCGGTAATGATGTGTGAGCACGCCGTCGATCTTAGCCAGGGGCAATTGATGGATATCAGGCTTGGATTCTTCACCTCCGATTCACTGCTTTTATATATCGCCGAGAGGTGAATTGTTCAATAGCATTTCTCTTTTCCCCTGTATTTGGTTTTCTTTATCTTCTATGTTTTGCTCCATTATTCACTGTGCGGTTTCAAAATTCGATGCGTAAGGCTTACATTTTAGGTTGCTAATTATACTATTGTGTTTTATTAAATCATATGTTGAGCCAAAGTTTGTGTAAGTGGGGCTATTGCTTTGCATCTTCCTGAATTTGTGAGATTTAATAGCTCATTTATCTCATGGTGGAGTAGCTTATTTCGTGTCAGAAATCCATTGTTACTCTCTTTATTTAGGTCCAGCATTTTTTATTCTCCTTTTTGTGATCATGGACTTTGTTTGGACGACAGTCCTCACTTGATTGTCTTGTGTTTTTTCATGTAGTTTTGTTTGCGATATTGTGGCATTTGAGGATTACTGTTTTGTGGCTTTTCCGTACAATTTGGAATGGGTATCCAAAGTTCCATTTTAGTGTATTGTGTGGAATTTCTTTAAGAAGTAGTTGTCTGCATCAATTTGCAAAAGCTCTTTGCTGTCTGTACATGTATAATTTGCTGTAGAAGGGCTTGAGTACTTGTAGAAATGTCATGATCTTATGCGTGTCATTAGTTCTTTTAATGGGAATGATTTCTTGATTTCATAGTATGGACTCAATGATTTGAAATCATTTAAGTGGAACCTTGTGCTTACAAGTAATTGTTTGGCCTGTTCTGCTTTCTGGGATTTACTGTCTGATCTTGCACTGCGCTAACAGATCAAGCCAGCTTCGATACCTTTCTCTTGATTCTTGTTGGGATGATGTATCCGGTCATGGTTTAACTGAAGCTATTAAGAGGTTTCCTTTGTTGGAGGAGCTGCACCTGTTCAATGCTGAAGTTCCTTCTGAAGCCGTAGAAGTTGTTGGCCGTTGTTGCCCATTGTTGAAATCCTTTTCCCTTGCAGCTCTTGCAAATGTTCCTGGTGATCCTGTGACGAAATGTAATAAGGACGCACTTGCTATCGCGAAAACCATGACTGGATTGCAACATCTTTGTCTTGTTGGAAATAAATTGACTAATGATGGCCTCCTAGCAATTCTTGACGGGTGCACTCACCTGGAATCATTAGATCTCCGGGGGTGTTTGAGAGTTGACCTCGAGGGTGATATTGGTAAGCGTTGTTCTCAGCAGCTCAAATGTGTGAGGCAGCCCAATGACTCCATTGAGGATCTTGAAATGTATAATCCCGGTGCATTTGATGATTACGGGTCCTATACTGGCTCTGACTCATTTGAGGATTCAGGGTCCTTTAGTGGCTCAGACGTCATGTCTGACTCTGATGATGAATATTGACACGAGTAAGGGGGACTATGATGACATTTTCGCTGTTTCTGCTGTGCGCTGCACTACATTCTGATGCCGAAGATTTCTTCCTGTCGATTTTCTGACTTTTATGAAGTCCCATGCATCATGCTCGGTTTATGAAGAAGTTCTACGTAGTAATTACCTTTTAACTAGCTTTGATTAGTAGGATGGTGGCACCATTGATGAATTGATCATTGCAGTATGCAGCTCGTTGATCCTTTGAGCTGCTAGCCTGCTGTGTTAAATTGTCAAAGGTTTGTCGATCTTTCTCTTCCTAGTTTTGGCCAGTTAGTTTTGGAGGAAGGGAATAAGGCAGCTGGTAATGGCTTTTACTTTGCTGCTGTTTTGTAAGTGCACCATCTGTTGTGCTGTTCCAGTATATTATGTATATGTAATATGCCTAACGTATGCTTACCAGTTAGCAAATTTTCTGTTTCTGCTACATTAGTGTATATGACGAAGATCGAACTCAAGAGATTCATGTTTGCCAGTTGGATTGCAAGAATTAGCCATTTAGGAATATGGTTAAATATCGGTCGGATATAACATCTTCATATGCGTTATTATTGCATAAGAAGGGAGTTTAACAATTCAAGTTTGGATTGATGGTGATGGTGCAGAGGCTTGTTAATTACCCGAACTTTGGCTTCACCACCAGGCGTAACAGTATTTTGTAGATGCTAGTCTCACTTTTCAATAAAGAAAAATAACTTATTCGTGGGTTTTTGGAGATTCATGTTTGTAACCAGGTACTATTTTAAACCATCAAATCTAATAAACATGATGAAGTGTGTAATGGTTTAGTGTTTGTTTGTCCAATAACTCATTTTCCATTTTCATTCATTTTACCTTTTAAATACAAAATTCAATAAAAAAAAAACATCATCTAAACAATTTTTTAATTTACCTTGTATTTGGTCATTACACTATTGTAAAGTCTTCGTTTTGGTCGCTGAACTATTGTGAAGTCTTCATTGTGTTTGGTTACTAAACTATTGTAAAGTGTTGCGTTTGATCACTGAACTATTATAAAGTCTTGTGTTTGGTCGTTATATTATTGTAAAATCTTCATTTTGGTCACTGAACTATTTTAATTTCATAAATAATCATTATATTATAATACTTTCTAAATAAAAAATTAAACTATTTTTTAAATTTCCTCTTAGATTAAATCAAAAATTAAAATAAAACGTTGTCCCACTTAGTTTCGTTTCTTGGAACATTGATCGAAATGCTAGAATCAGAAGATTTATGATCGTGAACCATAATCAGCTTAGCTATCGTGCTTTTCCAATTAATACCAATAAAATAATTGGAGAGATAAGAATCATAATTTAAAAAAAAAAGCAGTAAACAAGTATATGATATATAATTAGTAATTATTCTCTTTGTCCCAAAATTATTGTCAAGTTTGAGATTTCACGTTTAGTACAATTTGAACTAAAAATGAAAACTCAAATTGGACAACAATTATAGGACGGAGGGAGTACTTTTTATAGCTATAAGTCTGCAACTAGGATCATAATTCTAACCCTCTCAATCTAACGGTAGAGCTATGGTTTTGGAAGGTGAAAATGTTGTATCTAAACGTGTATGTGTAATTGGAGCAGGTCCATCTGGGCTGGTGGCCGCAAGGGAACTGAAAAAAGAAGGCCATGATGTGGTTGTTTTTGAACAAAAGCATGAGATTGGAGGTTAATGGCTATATGATCCAAATGTTGAAGATGAAGATCCACTGGGAAAGGGTTCGTTCCCAAAGGTTCATAGCAGTATTTATGCATGTTTGAGGGTTGATTTGTCCAGAGAAGTGATGGGTTTTCCTGATTTTCCATTTGTTGTGAAGGAAGGTGGAGATTGTAGGAGACATCCAGGGCACAGTGAAGTTCTTGAGTATTTGAGAGGTTTTTGTGAGTATTTTGGGTTAAGGGATTTGATTAGGTTTAATACTCGAGTTGTATATGTTGGAATGATGAATTATAAGGTAAACAATGGTGATAATCTTAATCAAGAAGAAGAAATTAAGGCTTGAAATGGATAGTGAGAAGTGTCCAGAAGAAGCACGGCGACGGCGATGATCAGAAGTCGGCCGTGGCGGTGTCGGAAGAGGTGTTTGACGCTATGGTTGTGGCCAACGGCCATTCTTCTCAACCGTATATGCCAATCATCAAAGGTACTTCTACACTCACCTTTGCCAATCCTAAGATGGCTTTTCCAGATGAACTTATTGACTTATATATAAACACTGCATTGGATTTTAACTTTAATGAGAACTAGTATTATGCCCGCACGTTGTACGAATTTTAATATATCTTAGAGTAACATTAATATATTATTATTTTTTTTAATAAAAAATGTCATATGTTTTATTTATTTTCTATTTTTTTGGTATAGTAAGCACCCGAAGTCTGAAAATCAAGAGTGTCATATGTTTTTTTCCCATCCGTTTTTGGCATATAGCGCATTCGGTGTTCGAAATTATTGTTTCAACTAATTCGTCTTCGAATCAGGTAAGTTCTTTTCAGAAGACAAACCTCTTCCAACAATCATTATTACATGCCCATGCGCAGATTTAATCATAAATTGTAGTTAACTTGGTCCAATATTTTTACCACTTTAATCAAGTACTTGTATGGATTTTTTAAAGTACAAATTCATATGTTCTAACTATCTAATATGCTTCTTGTTTAGGAGAGTCTACAATGTTACTTGTTTAGAGATATAAGTATATAAAAGTTATATTCAACAATAGAAATTAAATCATGTATATTCTAAAAATATATTGACTGAAACGCATATATTGTTCACTTGTAGTAATTGAATAAAATATTATAAATAATCTTTTTTAAGCATAAAGCAAAATGAAAAAAGAAAATTCTAACAAAAGTAAATAAAATACAAAAATAGGGGAGAACCTTTTAAAAGAACAAATAAATCATTTCGAAATACATATCCATGTTCGTTAAACTTTTTTCTTAGTTATGAATACTTGTCGAGATACTTATTTCAATCTTTTGCCATCATAGTGCCACACTTCTCTTGTAAACCAAAACACGTAGATAATCATGAATTTAAAGTAAATATGTTTAACTATTGATATCTCAAATAAAGTATATATTTACCTTGAGACTCTAGAGTATGAGCAATTTTGTTTTAGTCTATCTGACTCCTTCAGAGTAAGATTGATGCATAACTATTTTTAAGCTCAACCCATTGAAATTTAATAATAGCAGTAGTGCAACAATATATCAAAATGAGACCCTCGTGATTGTTTAAAAATAAAACTGCCCATACTTATAAATATTTGCAAATGACATACAATAGAAATCATCCTTTACATGGAAAATGTAATGCATGTTTAGAAAATAATGCCTCCCCTATAGAAAAGAAAAGGTATGTTAGTAGTATCAAATTTTTCCTTATAATGTCGAAGCTTAAAATGTCAGAAAAAATGAACAGTTCAAAACAAAAGGAAAAAATCATGTAGATTTTTTTTTCATTGATGAACCTTTTATAATTAACGACCACACTTCTCATTGTTAATCAAAAATTAGATGGAAGGTCGTCCACAATCATCCACACTGAAATAAGTTAACAAACCTTCAGTCAACACATGCAAAATTAAAAAATCAAGCGAAATTCTAACAATCACTCTAAACATTGAGTTAATAATATTAAAAGTATAACTTACCATGTCAATAGAAACCCATCACACTCCCTTTTTTACCAATAAATGAAAAACATCTATCTAAAATTACAACCCAACAGAGAGAGAGGTCGATGTATATCATTCAGACAAAAAAAAAAAAATTCAAATGGAAGAGGAGGAGGGAAGGGGAAGAGATAGAGGACAAAGGGGAAGGAAAGGAGAGGAAAGAATTAGACCATAAACTTTTATTATTTTTTTAGTGAGTAATATTTTTTAATTTTTGAAAATATGTCATGAAAAATAATATTAACTTACATTTAACGTATCCATATCTGGTTTTAAATTATATTCTATGCATAATTATTTGGTATTTATCTATTTTTATTTTTGGTAATCCAAATCTTTTTGTTTTTGAAAAATACATCAAACGAAATCATCTAAAAACATTAATAATAACCTACATTTAATATGTCCGGACTTACTTTCAAATTGTATTCATAACATAGTTTGATAACTAAATCTCTTTTATTTTTGATTACTAATTTTTTTTCTTTTGAAAAATATATTAAATGAAATCATATGAGAAATAATATTAACCTACATTTAATGTATCTAGATTTGGTTTGAATTGTATTCATAATATAATATTTGGTAAATAATCTCTTTTTACTTTTAAAAAATATCTCAAATGGAATCATTAAAATAATGTTAATTCACGTTTAATGTATATGGACTTGGTTCCAATTGTATACACACGTATTATAATTATTTGCTAACTAATCTCTTTTAGTTTTTGTAACCAAACTCTTTTTATTTTTGAAAAATATATCAGATAGAACTATTTGAAAAATAATATTAGCATATGTTTAATGTATCTAGACTTGATTTCGAATTGTATTCGTAATATATTGATTTGGTAACTAATCTTTATACTTTTGTCAACTAATTTCTTTTTAGAAAATATATCAAATGGAATCATCTAAATAATACTAACATACATTAAGGTATCTAGACTTAATTTTGAACTGTATTCATAATATAATGATTCGGTAAGTAATCTCTTTATTTTTGGTAATTAATTAATTTCTTTTTATTTTTGGAAATGTATCAAATAAATCATTTGAGAAATTATATTAATCTACATTTAATGTATTCAGGCTTGGTATTAAATTGTATTCATGATATAATTATTTGTTAACTAATATCTTTTTATTTTTTTTAAAGTAATCTCTTTTTATTTTTAAAAAATATATTAAACGGAATCATATATAAAATAATATTAACCTGTGTTGCATGTTTACAGGCTTGGTTACAAATTGTATTTGTAGTATAATTATTTAGTAACTAATCTATTTTTATTTTTAAAAAACATATCAAATGAAATAATCTAAAAATTAATATGAACCTACGTTTAACTTATCCATACTTAGTCTCGAATCGTATTTGTGGTATAATTATTTGGTAACTAATATATTTTTTGTTTTCAGTAACTGATATATTTTTACTTTTGAAAAATATATCAAATGGAATCATTAGAAAAATATTATTAACTTATATTTAATGTAATCAAACTTAGTTCCGAATTGTATTCGTTTAATTATTTGGTAAATAATCTCTTTGTTTTAGTAAGTAGTCTCTTTTTATTCATGGAAAATATACCAATCATATAAGAAATAATATTAACATGAGTTTAATGTAGACAGACTTGGTTTCGAATAGTATTCGTAATATAGTTATTGGTAATAATTTTTATTTTGGTAACTATTTTTTTTTAAAAAAAAATCCATCCCAGTGGACCCCAACCCCCCTTGGTAACCCCTTACTATTTTTATTTTTATTTTGGTAACTAATATCTTATCATTTTTGGAAAATATATCAAACAAAATCATCTGAAAAATAATATTACCTTACGTTTAATGTATCCAAGCTTAGTTTCAAACTGTATTCTTAATACAATTATTAATTTGATAATTACTGTTCCATTTATATTATATAATGTTTGGGCAAACTTCCTCATGATGATGATGATGATGATGATGATTATTATTATTATTATTATTACTATTATCTTGGAATTAACTTTATTCATCATTTAATTTATTTTTAAAGATTTAATTTGAAATTAGTTTATAGGAAATAACTAGATCAAAGTAATACAAGTAATCATAACCCCTCTAAGATTAGTTCCTTATCCTCTATAGATGCCACCAAGAAGAGCTCCCCGCAATGCTAATAACCAACAGAATCCACCCGTTAACAACAACCCC